CTATAGAGGATAGATTTCACCTTGGCCATGAAATGAAAAAAGGCCTTAAATGAAAGAAGCTAGACATCACTACTGCTCCAGTTTAAACTCACCATCTGTTATAAAGCCCAGATTTGCAACTGTGGACATGACATGTAGAAACCATGGGCTCAAAATTCACATGGGGAAACTCACAGGAACTAATAGGTCTAAACACCAACACTTCTCTACTGTAAGGTCGGGAGGCGGGTTCATTCCACTGCAGGGCAACTTGCATGTGGCAAATAAAATTTGAACTTGAACTTCAGTCTTCTTTTCATTAAAATGTAAATGGACGTAATATTGAGCCCTGTGGAACTCCACATGAGACTGGGGACACTGAGTCTGAATGGACCATGTTCAACACCTCCATTGGTGAGGCTGCTACACTGAGTTGTTGGTAAAGGTGGCTGGTGCCTGTCGTGGTGGTAAACCCTGAACCAGCTGGTGTACACTAGAGGTGAAGGGAGTGATCAGGCGGAATAAGGCGTCTTATCGGGCTTGGTTAGCCTGGGGGACTTGGGAGGCAGCCAATAAAATCAGTGAAAGGAATACCTCAAGGAGCTCCTTAATAGGGCTGCCACAAACGATTATTTTTATAGTCAACTAGTCACTGATTATTTTTGCGATTACTTGACTAATCAGATCACGTATCCACTGGACGTGAAACATACAGCTTATTGCACCAGCATGCATCTGCTCTTATATAACTATCATTCGCTTACAGCTTTAAGTGTTTAAGGTATGTGCTAACTAAAAATAAAGACAAGACGAAAGTTTATTAAACTTTTAATGAAATTTGCAGATTGTCTCGGTGGAGTTTAATAAACTCAGCCGTCTGCTCCCTTCTATCTAAAATATAACAGGACATTGGAGTAAACTCTCGACCATCTCACACTTCTGTTTAATCAGTTTTCTGTTTGACGATTATTCAGCTGTGTAAAAACTATAACTTTAATCTCAGCCAAACCGATTTACTCAGGAACAAATAAAACACTGAAAAAAGCCAAACAATAACATTTTTTAAGTTATCTAAGTGACTTATATATCATGTTTAACCTGAGTAGCGAAAGACTGCGGTGGTCTGAAAATGATGTGCCGAGAGTTTGCTGTTCTCGCCGGCTCTAGTGCACCTTGAACCCCGGCTAGCTATTGAGCTGGTGGGTAACAGACGTCTCCGAAAATGTTGGAGCACTTTTGCAAATATGTGATGTCTTGATAAACTGAGCAGATATTTGAAGTTTGCACTGCTACATTCTCGCCTGAAAATATCTTATAAATTTATTTTGTGACCCAGAAAGAGTAATAAGAATAATATTTAAACTAAGTAGCTGCCGCCATTGTTTGAAACTGGAATTGGCTGGGCTGCACTATAAATTCTGGGATATGCTGGGCCTTGAAGGACACCTGACCTGATTCCCTTTCGGTACGGATCAGGTAGTGACACTTTCAAATCTGGGGAAATGAAGCACGCATTTGTCGGCCGCATTTGGAAGCGTCTTCAAATTTGGACAGCCCTCGCATCGCTGTAACGCAATCGGCCTACAAATGCAGCCTCCGGAGGATGCAGCCCCTGAATTTGGACAGCTACGATCTTGGAGACTGCTTCTTCCTCTTCTGGGTTTAAGGGCAGGTGGCATCCTTGTACATGCGGTGCTGCCATCTTCTGTTTCAGTCTGTTATTACACTCTTAAATTCTACTACTTATTCCTGCGTCTTTCAGGATCTTACAAAGCTTCAAACGACGCAACCACTTGGGTGGTTTCAGAATTTCATCTCTGCTTTTTGCAGATGACTTGGTTCTGTTGGCTTCATTGGGTGATGGCCTCCAGCTCGCACTGGATCGGTTTGCAGCTGAGTTTGAAGCGGTGGGAATGAGAATCAGCACCTCCAAATCTGAGGCCATGGCCAAAAGTGCTGGCTGACCTCTCCCTTAGAGATAGAGTGAGAAGTTCAGCCATCCAGGACGGGCTCAGAGTAGAGCCGTTGCTCCTCCACATCGAAAGGAGCCAGTTGAGGTGGTTTGGGTATCTGACAAGGATGCCTCCTGAAGGAGGTGTTCTGGGCATGTCTCACTGGGAGGAGGCCCCGGGGCAGACTCACGACATGCTGGAGAGATTATATCTCTCGGCTGGCCTGGGAACACCTTGCTGTTCTCCCGGACAAGCTGGAGGGGGTGGCCAGGATAAGTGGAGGAAGAAGGATGGATGGATGTAAATTTGAAAAATCATGAATAACAATAATAATAATTAGAATTTTCAGTTCCTGGAGAAATTGCATTGGGATAGCAATAACACTAAGTGCATTACTCTTTTCTGGCATTGTTGTATTATACTCAATAGCATAGCATTTGTGTTCTATTTTATTCAATTTTATATAGTATTTTATTTATTCTATTCTATTGTGTACAATTCAGCCCCCTGTAAGTTGATTTTCATTTTCATCAAAAAAGTGTGGGTCTTTTCATTTTAAAGTTATCCAGTTCATATGATATTAGATATCCAACATGAATTCTTTCCTGTTAAGATATTATACATCTTGAAAGTGTTCTATGTTTTTTGTTTGTTTTTTTAGCAGTGTAAAGCACTGTGTAGTTTTTCTTTGGACATTGGCTCCTTTTTCACTCATTTTAAATCCAGTCCTTTTCAGAGGAATGTCTTTTTCTTAGGCCAGTTAACTCACTGTCTTTCCATGCTTCAATGAATCATTAAAGCATGAAAGGACAGTGAACAAGTATTGTAGTTACACATAGCAGAAAAATTAGAAAACCTTTGAATTCTATCTTTTGTTACAGCCTGTTGAATCTAAGAAAATAGCAAAGATAACACATTTATCTTGAAAGACATAAAATAGCATTCTTGCACCAACAAAGAACTATTAGTTGAACCTTGGCATATCTCACTATATTTCCCAATTTTCAAGCAAAATATAATTAAATGATTAATGGTTAATTAATGGTGATAAATGGTAAAATGGCCTATAATTACAGATGACGATGTCAGTAGATATTCAAGCAGATCCTGTACATCAACAGCAAAAGCTCTAAGCACTCTGTTTCAAACTGTTTTTTTCTGGTGGAGAGGAGATATCCTCCTTACTATGGTCATCTCAGGCACAGAACACAGAAGCCACACTTACCTGGTATTCTGGCATTGTGATTTTTCGGTTGATATAAAGGCAGGTGGAAAAAGAGCTTGTTACATGCAGTGAATGAATTAACAGGTTTTATCTAAGCCCAATATAAGATACATTATGATTTTCTATGAACTGGTCTTGTGTCATTTATCATTTGTGTACACACAGCATGTGTGAGAGCATATTTAGACATTGCTGATTTTTCTAGTTTCTATTTGAAAACGCTGTTAGATGGGTAAATATCACATAAATATGAAGGTGAATTATGCTGATGTGCACCCACCCGCTCTGCTGACTGTGCTGTGCCAAAGAAGATAGGGATGAAGGCAAGCCAGATAATACAGGTGGTGTACATTGTAAATCCAATGGGTTTGGCTTCATTGAAGGTCTCTGGTACACTTCGGGTCTTGATAGCATAAACAGTGCATGTGACCATCAAGAGAATGCTATATCCCAAGGAGCAGATAAGTGATAGGTCAGAAATGTCACACTTCAGGACACCCCGTGCATTCTCAGGATCCTGTGTGCGCTGCTCCCCGTAGTCCACAAAGGTATGTGGTGGGTCAGTGGCAAACCACAGGAGGACACCCAACAGCTGAACTGAGATGAGTGAGAAAGTGATAACTAGCTGCGAGGCTGGTGAGATGAAGCGTGGTGCTGTCACTGCCTTCTTTCCCTGTTCAAAGATGCGATGGATACGGTTAGTCTTGGTGAGCAGCGCAGCATAACTGAAGCACATTCCAAGGCCCAGGAAAATGCGGCGGAAGGAGCAGACGACAATATCAGGAGCAGCAATCATGGGGAAGGTGATGATATAACACAGGAAAATACCTGTCAGCAGGACATAGCTCACTTCCCGACCTGAGGCACGCACAATGGGTGTGTCATTGTAGCGAATAAAGGTTACGATGATAAAGGTTGTAGCGATAATGCCTAGGACAGAGATGAAGACAGGCACCACTGCCCAGGGCGAGTGCCATTCTAGCTTGATGATGGGGATTGGTTGGCAGCCAGTACGGTTTTGGTTGGGCCTCTTCTCGTAGGAACAGAGCTCACAGGTGAACTCACTGGCCTGGAAGTGGTATCCCTCGCAGCGCTCACAATGCCAGCAACACGGCACACCCTTTACTACTTTCTTCCTCTCACCAGTGCGGCAGGGCAGGCTGCATACTGAACCCGGAAGGGACAAGTCCCCAGTTGTCCACTGTAAGGCCTCCATCTAAGGAGAGGGAATAGAAAACTAAGCACTCGGTACCATCATAGTTGGGTCTAAATCAAAGTTCAAATATATTATAGAACTGCACACAGCAACAGTTTTTAGATAGAGCTAAACAGAACACAATCAAATAAAATACTGATTCTTCTTGATGCAGTGCGAAGAATCAAATTGAGAAACACAAAAACTCTTTCTTTGCGCTTGACTGGGGAGCATATTTGTTATTTTCATGTTTTATACCCCTTGCAAGTTAGCGGCCCTTACATTTAGATGCAACTGATTGGTCCAGTGCCCGATGACCTTGTACTCTGCCACCGACCTGTTGTTGATCTGATATTGGAAGATGTCATAGCGTCCGGGAGCATCCCCATTCTCATTAAAGATGACTGGAGTCCCTGCACTTCCTGAACAAAGCAACAAAGCAACAAAAAAGAGCAGAACATTCTGTTTTCAGAAATTGATGGAAAAGGGAAACACAAGATAAAGAGTTATCCTAATACGCGGAAAGAGACGTAAATTTGGAAAGAGAGAGATATCACATTAAATTAAAAAGGGGTATTTATAAAATAGTGCTAGAAAATACTCAAGTTTAAAATTAAAATCTTTAACTGTATATTTATTTTATAACTTATATGCACGTTTTAAGCAATTTGGAGTTTAATGTTCTCCAGATGTCCTGATTGATGATTTGCTGATGCTCACAAAGTAATCCATTGTAACAGGAATTCAAATACCACTAATTATTAGCAAAAATTTAACTAAAATCTTAGTAGCCTATTTTTATGTCAAAAAATTTTGTTTAATCAAATGGAATTCTTATTCCTGCCATTTTACACTTGGGTGCAAATCGCAAACTGGAGGTCAACATCTGATGAAGCCAACAGAATACCATCATCAACGAAAGGCAAAAATGCAATCTTGAGACCACTACACCACTTGGCTATGCCTAGATGTTCTATCCATAAAAACTATGAACAGAATCAAAACAATGAGTAGTCCTCCAACACACACCAGAATAATCTTACTGCCAGCAATAAGAACCAAGCTCTTTACAGTTGTACAGGGACCGAATGGCCTGTAACAGCTGGCCCATACTCCCATACTCCATACTCCAAAAGCACCCCCTACAGGATATCAGGAGGGACCCGGTTAAATCCCCCCTCCAAGTCCATAAAATACATTAAGCAGGCTGGGCAAATTCCCATGCACCCTCGAATATCCTTGAGAAGAGTAATGCTATGTCCACACGTACACGGGTATTTTTGAAAACTGAGATTTTCTGTTTCAGTTTTTTTTTTTAAAAAATCCCGTCCACACGTGCAGTTTTGAAAAATATCTCCGCCTACACGTAAAAGCCAAAAATGCAGTCAAATGTTGTCAAGAACACGCCAAATCCTAGCTGTGTAGAAATGTCGGCCAATCAGAAGTCTAGAAGCCTTGGAGGGAAAGAGTAAACAGAGTTTTATGCAAATCTTAAGTGCTTCTGAAATGTTTTTGTGTTTTTCTGGCAAGGCAGCTAATTTTGTGTTACTTTTCAAGTGCCTTCATCATTTCAAATGTTAATAACCAAAAACAGCATTTTGGCTGGTGTAGGAAAGAACAAAATGCATACAGCATGCATAAATTTTAATTTAAAAAAATTAAATATACTTGCAACAATGCATCAGTCAAATGCCATCAGTCCTTCAGACAAATGATGTTCTCCGGGGGACCATCAAACTCAGACTTACATTGCACATAGTCCACCGGATTTCTAGACAAAGAAGCGTGATTTGTCACTCCCAAGAGTAAGTCCCCAGTGCACTATTGGCATTGTGCTTTACAACACTGCACCAGGTTGCATTGTGCTTGGTCATGTAAGGCAGCGGTCCCCAACCGTTTTTTCGCCACGGACCGGTTTATGCCCGACAATATTTTCACGGACCGGCCTTTAAGGTGCCGCGGATAAATACAACAAAATAAAACTAGTACCGGTACCGAAAAAAATGTATTCATAACACACGTGAAAAGACCCAGGAAAACCGAGTTAACGATAAAAACGATAACAAAATAACGCTGAAAACCGATAAAAACCCTGAAAACCACACATTTCACACCTGAGCCTCAATTCTCGCGGCCTGGTACCAAAGGACTCACGGACCGGTACCGGTCCGAGGCCCGGGGGTTGGGGACCGCTGATGTAAGGTTTGGATGCAGCTGATGGGCCATGAAAACCTCAAGCTCTTTATGCACTGTTTTGGAGCTAATCTGAAGGCAACGTCAAATTTGGAGGTTTATAGCGACTTACTTTGGAGATTGTACCTTGGCATCCACTGACCCTATTCTGTGATTTTGTAGGGCACTTCATAGCTGAGTTGTTGCCATTCATAGTTGCTTGTAATATGAATATACAAGTATAAAGAAAAAAACTGTTTTGACTGGCATATTAAAGCACAATTTGTAAACCCAAATGCTAGATCCCAATGCTTATACATTAAGGAAGAGCATTCAGAGTCTTGGTTAATCTTGCTAAACCTCTAAATGGATTCACTCTATCTTTCTTGCAGCCGCTATATTTACTGTATTGTGGTGTTAGTATACAGTTGAGCGGGATTTCTTTGCTGTGGGGTAAATAATACTGGGGACTCGAGGCACATTAGTTTAGATGTGGAAAAGGAAGAGCAGAAGATAGAAGCTAATTTGCAGAACATCAACAACAAAAGAATTCACATTCATAATAAAATGAGTGGGTGGCAGTTTGATTCGATGCTGTCCTGATTTCTTTCTTCAGCGTGAATAAAAGTAGTCCATAACACATCACTACAGAGATGAATCAGCACAGCTTGCCTCAAGATGCACAAACGCCCCTCCACCACCTCCTATCTCCTCCCCCACTTCACTTCACTTCACTTCACAGACTCTGCTTTGATACAGAATTAACATCCTGACTTCACATCACTTCAAAACATGATAATCACAATAACTCACTGGTGATCTCTGTCATTTAATACAATAAGAAACAGACTACAAATAAAGACTCTGTGAACAAACAAAAACAACTTGTACTATTGGTTACACATAAAATAAGACAGTTTCAATACTAGAATGTTGAGTCCAGATTGGTTTTCTATGAGTTTTGGTAAGTTTTTTATCACGTGACAACTAACTAAGGTTTTAGATCTCAGCACTTAGCTATTACGGTGGAAAGTTACAAATTTTTGATGCATCAGCTCTATTATACATTCAATAAAAATCAGTCCATCATATCAACACCAAAGTGTTGATGGGCATTGACACATGTAACAAGATTTATTTTTAAGAAATTAATCTCTGGAGAACTTGACCATAAATATTCATTAATTCTCCTGTTCAACCTGGATCCAACAGGACCGCATCTTTTTTAGTACACTGCCAGGAAGCACAGTGCAGCAAGGTATCTGGATTTTATGGAACCGCTACAGCTGAAGCTTGCCAGGTCGTCCATTCATCTGCGTGATAATGAGTCTGAACCTATATATTCACTCTGCTCGTATTTCTACATCCTTGCTCTGACTTTAATGTGTACTCGTCTGCAGCTTTCACATTTGTTCTGCTACCTTCACACAACATCCTGAGCCACATCCACTTCAGGAATGGCCATGGCGGCTCAGGTGGTAAAGCATGACCTTAACCTTTTTTTTTTTCCTGCTAGTCTTTTCAGATGTCTTGATCTCAAGACATCTCTCAAGATGTCTTGTTCAAAGTAGAGTATAAAGAATTATATTTTAGCTTAATAAAACTGAAGAGAAGCTGACGTCTGTTTCAACAATGTCTGTTGTTGAGATTAAAAGTCCACTAAAACAGCTGAATTATTTGTTTCCTCCTTATGCCTCGCTTTGCACTTTTTTGTGAAGTCGCAGCAGGAGATGCACTTGTCACATATTCATCAGTTCACTCACTTAAAACATCTCTCCTCATCCCTCCCCAATCCAATCTGATTGCTGCTCCACAGGGTCAATCACACTGCTTTAAAACATCAGAAAGGTCTTATTGATTTTTAATAAGCATCCAATATCCAAATAAATCTGAGGGAATCTCCCTGACCTCTCCCTCTTTCTCCCTCACCCACTGCTCTACTTTCCTTAGCTAAACGTGTTCAAACAGAACGTTGGTACAAAGGCCTCATACAGATGGCTACATTGCATCTAACTAACATTAGGACAATTTTTCCGATTAACCTTCTGACGCTCCTCTAAAAATAAGCACAATGAGCAGACGGCTGAATTGGCCATTAGCCCTCTGCCTGGCCACAAAACACCACTTTGTCCTGGATTGTAGCATTGCATACATGGAATTATGACTAACCACTCTCCAATATGTTAAGAGATGTGAAGCATGAAGAAAAACATAGAAGGAGATCAAATTTGATTCATGTCAGTACAGCTGAGTATACTCCTAACAAAATCATACCAGAAAGCCTCAAACATGTGTGACATGAGTGTTTGTGTGTGTCTATACTGCAATAAAAAGAAACTAATTGAGGCACAAAGCACACATGGGCCATATACTGGTCAGCCAGGATTAATTGGTGGTGCATAATTGATGCTGCAAAGCTAAGGTGAGTTGATGTTTTCAGAGGCTGCAGATTAATTCACAGTTAACCGATTCAGTTAATTTGCTTCATCAGTGAACTGACTGGTTTATGTTTAACAGGTTTAGTTAAACTGATATTACCCATGTAAACCTGCCTGAAATGACATCTACAAGTTTTCTGGGTCCCCTCCTCGATCACCGTCAAGCCATGGAGAAGGAGTGTTCTCGATTGTCTGGGGCACAACCCTGGAAGATCACCGGCGCCAGTTCAAGGGGTGCCGGATCGAGGCAAAGGATCACCCCTTCGCCAATGCTCAGAGGGTCAGGCCATGCAGCAGCCAGGCAGATGCAACCAGGCCCTGGGGAGGAGGAAAGGTGGCTGTTGGAGCTTATTGTCTTGGAACAGCTCAGCATGTAGATACAGTTGCCAGTGGAAATGAACCATAGCTCAACAATGGCTGGAAAAGGCTCCTCAGTCCACCTCCGGTGTCACAGACTACTATGGAGCCTTACTAACTCATTTTTATCTGTTTCCCCTCCTCAGGTGCTGGTGGCTACAGGTGCTTCACCCATTTCATGGGGAGTCACACAGATGCTGGGGCAGGAGTGCTGGAGGTGGGGGTGTCTGGGATATCTCCGCAGGGAGTGTCCACTGATAGAGGTGGGGCAGATGTTTTACATCTTCAGCATCCCAGCATGTTCCCCCAGTCTGGGAGGGACATACAATGTTGAACCTGAGACATTTTTGGAGGTATAGCGTGTGGAAATTCTTTGTGTGCATGGGGATGTTGGGGGCAGTTCTTAAAAGCTTTTGGGAACTGATATTCCAGGTGATTCATAAAAATCCTTACAG